ATTTCTTATCAATTTGGGGGTACAATTTAAGTTCTGCTTATAATCATCACAGGCATAAGCTAGAAGCAACCCAGGTCAAGTGAGCCTCCCTTGTCTTGCAAAATGAGCTAAATTAAGTTTTGTTTATATGATTAAACTGGTTTTGTTTGCTCAGGGAAATTTCAAGTCTGGTCTCTGTGTTTGATTTTAATATTGCTGTCTAGGGGTGCCTGGGTGGCTAAGTCAGCTGGGCGGCTGGACTCTTGGTTTCAGCTCAGGTCATGATCTCATGGGTGTTGGGATCAAGACCCACACTGCTTGTGCTCTGCAGGGAGTCGGCTTGTGATTCTCTCCTCCTGCCCCTCTCTGTGACCCCCTCACCCCCACCATCACCGTTTGCTCATGCATACTCTCTCTCACTCTCAAATAAACAAGTCATAAAAAAACAGCGCCATCTAGCTGAGGGAAACAGGGTTGAGATGAATCAAATATGGTATAACATAGGATAGGTTTAATAAAAATCCAGATTTTTAGGTTTGGCTGGCTTTAAGTGCAATAAGTATTCACCAAATGCCAAATTGCATCAAGAAAATACAGTACAAGCCTACCAATGATTTATTTTGGAAGTCCTAAACCTGAACTCTATCATCAAATTAGTCTACATTATTTATCTTATTTTTTTAAGATTTTATTTATTTATTTATTTATTTAATGTTAGAGAGAGGGAGAAAGAGAAGAGAGAGCAGGAGGAGGGGCAGAGGGGGAGGAAGAGGGATAAGTAGACTCCTAGGGGAGCAGGGAAACTGACATAGAGCTCCATCCCAGGACCCTGAGATAATGACCTGAGCCGAAATCAAGAGTCAGATGCTGAACTGGCTAAGAAAGCTCCCCTACACTCTTTAACTTACTTAATGTAACTTCCATGCGTTGATGTTGCTGTAATAACTTGAAAACAAATGCAATTATAGAAAATCAAGAATAAGCCTACTATAATGCCAAATTCAAGATTGTACAAAAATTCTTGTCCATCTTAAATTCCAACAAAAGAATAATATTATTTGGCCATAATTAATGTGAAACTTAAGACCTTCACATATCTAGTTTTCAAAGCCCTTTAAGTATAGAAGCATCAGTCCTTTGGTATTGCTGGGATATTCACTTTGCAGCAGCAGACCTATTAGAAGTGTTGCATAGGGGCGCTTGGGTGGCTTATTGGGTTAAGCATTGACTCTTGATTTCCGCTCAGGTCACAATCTCAGGGTCATGAGATCAAGCCCTGCATTCAGCAGGGAGTCTGCTTGAGATTCTCTCTTCCTCTCCCTCTGCCCTGCCCCTCACGCTCTTTTTCTCAAATAAACAAATAAATCTTTTTAAAAAGAGGAAAAAAAAAAACTGTTGCATTGCAGTTGGTTAGTAAGGGGAGGAGTTTAGATAGTGCCCAAATTCCAGTCAGGTAACAGATCTAAACACTTGCATGTCATCACTGATTTTTTTAATAGACAGCAAAATGTGAAAGTTGCTATTTCAAAAATTAGTCTCATACTACATTTTCTGAGTGATTTCTAAATCACTTTCCTAAATCTTAAATCCTGCTGAAAAAAAAAAATAGTTTCTCTTTTGCAGCAGTTTTAGCATTATTTTATAGCTTTGTTTTCCCTGTTGCTCCACATTTTACTATTTTGAAAACTCTACTTTTCCATATGTCATGGATAATGGCCAATTGTGTTGCCTTCTGTGGAAATAAAGATAAGAAGTAAACAGTTGCTTTCCTAACAAAAGACTTGATTACATCTGAGTTGATTTTACCATAGTATTTTCACTACGTACTGTTATTTAGTGTCATTTTGGGGACATTTAGTACTCCTGACTTTGATGACCTTTCACTCCAATTTAGTGGATGGCAATGCAATAATAGCCTACATTAAATTTCTACCTTTGGAAGACTTTGGCACAGTGGTTCCCAAACTGGCCACACATTGGAATCACCTGTAAAAATACCGAGACCTGGGTCTCACCTGTCACTCATAGATTATGACTTAGTGGGTCTGTGGTACAATCTTGGTATTGGGATATTTTAAAACTTCCAGATGATTCTAATGTGTGGTACAATCTTGGTATTGGGATATTTAAAAACTTCCAGATGATTCTAACGTGCAGCCTTAAAGAGGTACCACTCAGTTTAGAAGAAGTATTCCCAAAAGCTAAGCCAGAGTAACTTAGTAAAAAATTAGAAATATTATAGTCAACATGAAACTAAAAGTGTTATTGGTAAAATCTACATACTATGCTATTTCTAGGCAGTGGTGTGCTCATAAGTAGGTCTCTTGATTGTTTTTATGCTTATATAAATAAAATTTTTAATAAATTTAGCCACATGGTCTGTAAATCAATATCAACAGCTCTGAGATCTTGTGAATTCTCTTTATTTTGAGGTGTAATGAAGTAACCTATTTGAGCATCATATATGTTACTAGGTAAATATTAATAACAAAAGACATTTCTTTAGGGCTTTTCCTATGCCAAAGACATTACATATTTTAATTTATCTATCCCTCACAACTCTTTGAATAATATTCTATTATTATCCTTATTTTTACAGTGAAGAAGCTGAGAGGCAGAGAAGTTACGTAACTTGCCCAATGGCACACAGCGAGTAAGCAGCAAATTGGAAACTGAACTAGGTAGTCTGATTGCTCTTAAACCCCATGTTCTACCAAAAAGAGCTTTTTGTTCTATCAAGAAGAAAATCAAAATTATATTCTAGACTGTTTCTGAATACTGCAGAACTCTAGCTCCCTCCCCTACTTCTAGTTGTTCGAAAATCTTTTTCAAATCTAGCAACATGTAGCACCTGCTGAAATGATCATTTTGTCTTTCTCATTATCAGTGCAGTTCTACTTTTCCTGTTCCAAAAACAGAAACTGCTTATGACTTTGGTATAATAGAGCAATTATGTTTATTGAGGAATACATTTTATTGCAAGTCGTATTATTACAACCTCTAAAAATAGCACCACAGTTTTAAAACTCTCCTTTTTTATGGGTTTATCTGGCTGGAGCCAAAAAAAAATAAATAAAAAAACCACACCTCAGTTATGATGCCTCTCAGACACATGTTGATCAAATACCCAGGGGCAGAGAGGGACTTGGCCAAATGTAGCTAAAAAAAAAATATTTTTTTTGGTTGGAAATAACTTTAAACTTGCAGAAAAGTTGCAAAACCAAATTCTTACAAAGAAAAGACATATTAGCTTCTAGTCAGATTTGTCTATTAAGTTTTACCCACGTTTGCTTTATCAATTGCTCTCACTAGTATATATACACGCAGACAAATACACATACTTTTTTTTCAGTTTTTTAAAGTAGATTGCATATATTATTGCCTGTTACCCCCAAATACTCCAGGGTGTATTTCCCAAGAATAATGATATTCTCTTGTATAAATCCCAGTACACTTCTAACCTAATTTGCCATCTATATTTCAATTTGTTTTTTACTGGATTTAGTCATCACATATTTTGAATGTAACTTAATCTAGAAAATTTCCACAGAGCCTTTCTTTGACTCTTATGACAATGACATTTTTGAAAAATTTGACCAACACCACCCTCCTCCTCTTTTTCAATAGAACATTCTTCATTTGGAATTTGTCTCATGTCTCCCCATGATTAGGGGAATCCCTACACACAGATAGGGATTCTGGACTGAAAGACTACATAAGTGATGTTCCTTCTCAGGGTATCACATTTGAAAACAGAGGTTCTTCCGTCCCTCTTTGGCGATGCCAGGGGTGATTCCCTAGTCAAGGAGTTAGTTGTCTAGTTTTTCCATGGCATAGGCTGTTTTTTCCACTATTAACTAATGAGCGATCTGTGGAGAGATACTTTAAGACCAAAGTGATATCCTTCTCCTAATCTAAATTTCCCTCTAGATTTAGCATCTACTGGCAATTCTTGCCTGAGCCAATATTTACTGTGATAGTTGGAAAATGATGACTTTCCGTTTCTAGCACTCCTTCCACATATACTGGTCAGCCCACAGCATTCTGCTGTAAGGAAGACTCTTCTCTTTCTCCCTATTATCGTTATGGATTCATGGATCCTTATTTTTCCTTCCATGGTTTATAAGTTATGATTTTTTTCTCAATTGTTTTATTTTTTCAAACTGTTGCAGTTTTAACTAAGGGAAACACCTCCAAGCTGGCTTCCATATTTTTGGTATTCTTCTATTATTTTTTTAAACACTACCATCCTTTCTGATGTAACAAGATATTTCAGGCTCATCTTGTAACTACCCTAACCCCACATTAGAATTAGTTGTTTCTCCAAGGAACTCTCAGTCCTTTTAGTGGGTAATGACATTGGACACCAAAGTCTGGGAAGCAGGTGGATTCATTTCTACTGAAGTGTCATTGCTTCTAAGCTCTTTGGGCAGATAGATCTGGGAAATACATGGGTGTATATACATATACACATAAATATATATATATATATATGTATGTATATGTATACCTCATAAATGCATTTGCAGACATGCATGTACAATTACATACACATGTGCACATATATATACACATGCCTTAGAAACCACAAATTTACATCTATCTCAATCCACTCTCACACGATTCTTTCTTGCCTCCCTCATTCCATAGTTGCATATTCCTCTTCCACAGTGAAAATCCTGGCCCCTAAAACACCAGCACATTTGTCATTTGCTCAAACATACACCTGAAAGAGTTTCATTATTACTTGGGCACAGTAGTCTCTATTCCTGCCTGTCAAAAATCAACTAGACCCAGTAATTCAGTGCCCAGTTATTGACCCAAAAGGAAGAAACTCCTATGTCCCCCAACAACCTTGTATGAGAATGTTTACAGCAGCTTTATTCATCAAAATATGTTTGGCCAAAACCTGGAAACAGCCCAACTGTCTTAAGAGAAGAATGGATGAGCAAACGGGGTTATATTCACGCAACAGAACACTATGTAGCAATCAAAGAGCAAACCGCGGCTGCACTCAGCAATATGGATGAATTTCAGAAACACTACGCTGAGTTTAAAAAGGCAAACAGAAAGAACACATAATGTATGACTCCATTTATATGAAATTCAAGAACCGGCAAAAAATAATCTCTAATGGTGCACTTTTAGAGATTTTATGAGAAACAGACATGTTTCTAATAGCCAGGTGTGGCCAAGGGGACAACATAGAGTAAAGGTTTAGCAAATGACCTTTCTTCATTCTCTACCACTTTGGGGCTTTGCACAAGTTACTCTACACTCTTTCTTCTTTTATAAACTGGAGATAATAATAGTATCTACCTAATAGGGTTGTTGTGTGAAATTACATTAAATATGGCAACACGGCATGTAAATCGTCTGGTAGAGAGTCAATGAGCTTGGCACACATAAAACATACAGTAGCTGTTAGCATCAGTATAGAACCTGTGTTTGTACATTGCCCTTCACAGGTATACTGCTGGTCCCTCATCACTAACAACGCTCAGGAAAGCAATACAGAAATATACATCGGGTTTTCCATATTCTTTGACTTACTAATCCCTCTCCTAGAAAAAGTATCCGGCACAATCAGATACATGCATGAAGGAAATTTTTGCAAAATAATGTGATAACTCCAAACTGGGTTAACTTAAAAATAAAACCATTACATTATAGAATCATAGTAAATTATGGTATAGCACCTGTTGAAATGTGGAAGAATCTTTGTTAAACTCGCAAAAAGCAGAAGATAAAACAATATGAGCTCTGTGGTTGCAGATGAATACGATATATTCGTGTGTACAAGTGATGGCTCATACTGTGTGACCTGGGAGCAGTTGACTTCCTCTTTCAGGCTCTAAAAAATTTCCTGATTGTCTTTTCATTTAAAAAATGCATACTTTTTTGAATTAAAAATAACCTTTTTTTGTATAAAAACCCACACATTAAAGAAAAGTATAATGGAAAACCCAAATGATAGAAGCCAAATGACTACTTGCTTCTGGTGGCAGTGGGAGAGGGCAGAACACTGACTAGTAAGAAGCCTGAGAAAACTTTCTGGGAGCAAGGAAATGTACCATTATCTTGATCAGGATGTGAGTTATATGGGTGCGTGCATTTGTCACAATAGATTGAACTCTACCCTTAATATCTGTGCATTTCACTGTCCATAGGGAGTAGAGGCTGCCCTCTGCCTGAACTAGAACTTTGATTTAAAACAACCCCTTCTTGTAGTTTGTCTCACTTGCCATCTTCTTCCCCATTGACTTCCTTTTACATTACTTGCTTTACTATCCTTTCGATATACAAAGTACAACAGAAGTTAGAATTTCACAGCTAATTAAATGACATTATCAACTATTTAGCTGTGGCCAATATACATACTTTAATACAGTAAGGAAATGCATGCAAATTGAAAATGTTTAAACAACACTGAATTTTAGATTAATCCTCACTTTAGGCCTTTACCTATCTCATCTATTAAGACAAAAGCAAAAACAGAGAAACAAATTGCAGAGCAGTTGGGGCCTTGCCAGTGAAAACCGTTGATTTCCAACATAAAATGATCAAATATCACTTCAATGAGGAAATGATTTTCTCAGACCTTCTCATAAATTCTGGTGCAGACCACGCCCTTCATTTTACATTCCTTGAGAAAAGAGAAAGATTCATTGAGTATCTAAAACTCAAACTAGGGAACAACAAATTTGCACATAGCAACAGAAGATAAAAACAAGCTCATAAGATTAAACTTAGAAAGGAGTAGAACATCAGTATGTCAGTCTCTGGCAATTTGGAATTATGACCATCGAAACAGGAGAAGCAGTTTTGACATCATTCTATGTTACTATGTGGAAGAATTTTCTTAAAGTGACAAGTTTTTATGCATAATTTGCATGCATTTAAATTCACTAAAAGTGGATTTCAAAACTATATGCGTATTTGCATCATCTGAGGAACATTTAAAAATACTGATGGTTCCTTCTCTCCCAAGAGATTTGCATTTAATTAATCTGTGTTGAGAGCCCCATACTGGTGTTAACTCCCCATGCAAATCTACTTTGTAGCTAAGGATAAGAACCTCTAAACTAAAGGGAAAAAAGAACATTTAAAATGACATGAGTCTATGTTCAATGTATGTATTAGTAAGCACAGAAGCTAAAACAAGAAAATTGCTAGATGTCATCACACGTAACCCTGGTCATTACTCTTGATCTGCCAACTAAAAGGTCTCCCATGAGCTGAGCTTAAATAACTGACATGGTGGAGTCCAAGTTACTTTGAATTCTTGGAAGCAAAAAACTCAGATACCTACAAATATTATGTAATTGAGCCGTTAAGCAGGGTTTGTTTTGCTTTTATAACTTGGACTTGCTTTTCTCTTTGTGAGTCCAAAATAGGGAGATTAGCCATCCTTTGACTTACTGTTATTTTTTTTTTTGGTGTTGTTACTCCTAAAATAACACATGAACTTTGTTGTTTCTAAAATCTTGGATCTATACTTGAAGTGCTATAGAGGAGTCTTCAGGGCTGAAATATTGTCTAACCACTAGTTCTGACTTTATTCTTAGCCTTTCTTTTCCATGGGTATTGCAAAGAAAAAAGAATACTTTGAAAACAATGTAACCAATTTCCCTATTTAAATACCATTATTTTTGTATTTAGAAGCAAAAATACTCTTACCACTACCATTTTCCCATCCACCAGCTTTCTTTTTATTGTTGTCTCTTTGCCATCCCATTTCTGCACTTGATTCAATGAGCCTCTTGACAAGGTCACGACGCTCTGCAATGACAAGCTCACATAATTGAGTTGCTTGGACCGTAGTTGATTAAAGAAGCAGTTCATTTGGTATCGAACTGTTTTCATAATAGACGTCTCATGAAGAACATTCATTTTCAATTCAATTTAATTTATTTTTTTTAGAGTAGGCTCCACACCCAATGTGAGGCTCAAACTCCCAGTCCTGAGATCAAGCAAGGTGCCCCCAAGGCACATTCATTTTTTTTTTTTATAAAGATTTTATGTATTTGACAGGGAGAGCATGCACATGTGTGAACACAAGCAGGGGGAGCATCAGGCAGAGGGAGGAGCAGGTTCCCCACTGAGCAGGGAGCCCGATGCAGGGCTCAAATCCAGGACCCTGGATCATGGCATGAGCCAAAAGCAGATGCTTAACTGACAGAGCCACCCAGGTGCCCCAATTTTCAATAGAATGGCATAGTCTACCCTTTTGAATACTAACAGGAAGTATCTTCTCAAGTTGGAGAATGAGCTAACTTTGAAGAGAAACATTAAAATTTACCTTTGTTTTCCTGTTGTCGGCTGTGGTTTCTTCAAATTCCTGACCTAACTTAAAGGAGATCTCTGTATTTTTAAATGTACTCTCAGTCCTTATAGTTATAATATCCCCTTTCTTGCTGATGATCACACGGGGTTTGGCCAAATTTCCCAGTTTTCTGGTGGCTAACCCCACACCTGAAAATCAAGAGAGTGTTAGAATTATGTTGACAAGGAGATGTATCTGTACAGACTATGCATGGCCACATTCTATCCTCACTTGTTTGTCTGGTGTGGAGACGGTGCATAGTATCACTGACTACTGAGGACCTCCTCCCGTGTTTCACCATCTAACAGAAATGCGTGTCCATCAACTTAAATATTTTAAGTTTATTATTACAAGAGTAATATCTGCAGATTTTATTTTTTTAAAGATTTTATTTATTTGACAGACAGAGATCATAAGTAGGCAGAGAGGCAGGCAGCGAGAGGTGGGGGGGGAAGCAGGCTCCCCGCTGAGCAGAGAACCCGATGTGGGGCTCGATCCCAGGACCCTAGGATCATGACCTGAGGCAGAGGCTTTAACCCACTGAGCCACCCAGGTGCCCCTATCTGCAGATTTTAAAGATAAACATGTTTAACTTAAATAGTGCAAGTTAACCCCTTTTACATCTAATCCCACAGTCTTTGAAAATCACCAGGGTTTTGTATGAATCATTCCAGACATTTTAGTTTTTTACATATAAATACTATAGATGTCCTTTTTTTAAAAATTTTTTATTTTTTATAAACATATAATATATTTTTATCCCCAGGGAACTATAGATGTTCTTAAAATGCAACTATGACAGATACACACTGTTCTTTGATTTTTTTTCTCTTCAGTAATATATTGTGGATATAGAAAAGAACTCTCCCCACATCCTTAATAGAATCCTATTTCTGCGATTTTATAGTGGCCCCTAAATTAACTGGTGGGAAAAATCTATCCATCTCCTTTCAAGATCTCTATCATTACATGTAATCATAAATAAACTAATTTTTAAAAATTTTCCTTGTTTGGAAAAAACCACAAAATTAAACTCTCAAGTTTTATTACTACTATTACTAAGACTATAGAAATACTTGGAAAAGGAGAAATGTCAAATGAGAGCAATAAATGAAGGGAAAACTAGTTTCATATAAATATATGAAAATACATATTCTATATAATCTCTGCAGTAGAGCCTGAGAACCTACACTATATTGAACCCTGAGGTGATCTTATGCATTCTAAATTTGAAAATGATAGAATTAGGGAGTCTGTCTTTGAGGCTCTTGTATTTTTCTTCTTCCTCAGCTGTAAAGTCAAATTCTTAAGTCTAACCAACCTCATGGTACGATCTGTCCCCATAAGTTCTCATAGTTTTCTAGGCAACATAACATGATTTTGCTTGTTTTACCTAAGAATACAACTCTTCTCATAAGCTTTCTATGCAGGTAAGTAAAATTACAGGCCCTTTGTCAAGCATAGAAACCTGGGTCATTAGCACCACTTTCGATTATATTTATATAGCTCTGGAAATTTCCAAAGACAATTCATACCTGTTGTGCTCATATCGTGGAACATTCCTAGAAATAGTATAAAATAAAGTTGATAAAACTAAGGACTGGATTTTCCATCTTCATCCATCGCTCCAAATACAGGAAAGTCTGATGTTAGCCTAACAGAAATTAGTGTAAACGTCTGGTTTAGCTAAACACCAAAATTTTAAATTGAGGTTTTTTATTAACTTTAGTGTTTTCAATTCCTTATCTTATAAGCATTTCAGCTGTTATAAAACAAACCAGAGGATGGGTTGCCTAAGCCTCTAGGATTTCTTTTCTCTGAAAGCAAAGCCCTACTGATACAAAACTACCTTTGAAATCAGTGGGAGCTCCACACAATTAAGCAGCTCTTAGGTTAAAATCTATTAAAATTTCCACAAATGAAATGCAATAAATTATTGGAATGACAAAAGAGATTAATTGCAGGAAAGGATTATAATTCAGCCTGTGCAAACTTCCCCAGAGTCCTGGAAAAGGAGTTAGAAGGAAATAGGCATGCAGCTTTCTCAAAAAAGGATCTTCTCAACCAGAGCTACAAGAAACATTTCTTACCCAGAGCTTTCATGTAATCATCAAAGTGCTCACTGGAGACAAGTTTCCAGGTGCCCAAGAATTTGTTGCTCATTGTGATGGAGGAGAATTCAACCCAGTTCTAGATGAGATTCAGGAGACTCAGATGCTGAAGCCTCAGAAGATTCTTTTCAAAGATGTCCAAAGCATGTGACTCTCACAGAGACCCAATGGGGAAAAGCAGTATCAGGACTGGGCAATGAATCATCCATTGGGACAAAAGAAACCCCCACATAATGTTTCCTTAGTCTCCAAAAAAATTTTTTTAAAGATCAATGAGAGCACTATTTGAACCTTCAAAAAAATTTTTGGTCAATCTTACATTTTTAAGAAGTGCTTAGTCTTTAATGCTTTGGAAAAGACTCCATGAATTGAATCCTATACCAAACTAAATTATATTAGCATGAATGAGTGTGTGTGTGTGTGTGTGTGTGTTTAGGCATCTTAGTCACTCTCAATCCTGAGTCTGCACAATTAAGAATTCTTATTGAAAGAGAAGAAAGAAAGGAAAATGTCCATGAGTTTTGTGATAACTGCCTCAAATATGTTGTGGGAGAGAAATGCAGGGAAGCAGTGTGAGGAAGTATTCATAGGTAAGGGAGGCTTGGCATAGTTCACATATCCCAGGCAGGCAGAGTAGGCAGACAATACGTTCAGTCTATTACAGCAGAGCACAGAAATTGTATTCATGGGATGGATAAAAAGTAGCGCTAGAACATGATGTGGCCTTGGCACAACAAAGATTTTCATCTAAAAAAAAAAAAAACCTTAAGTCCAAATTAAGCAGGTTCTTAGTTAATACAACAATTTTGAGTTTAAGCCCTTTAAAATAAATCTTCAGTTTTATAAAGAGAAGGATTTTCTATATAAATAATACTAATGTATACTGAGAGGTCGTTGTGGGCCAGTCACCATGCCAAGTGCTTTTTATGGATTATTTCATTTAATTCTCTCAATACCTCCAAGAGTTAAGTACTATTATTACATCCATTTTACCATTGAGAAGGTTAGGTAACTTTCTCCCAGGACTTGAATGAGGAGAGGCAAGGTTTGGACGTGGCCTTGTTCTCTAGCCCAGACTCGGGATTATTATCTTACATTGCTCCCTTTATATCACATATTCACAGAGGCCTTGGCCAAAGGTCAGATGATACTGACATCACCATGTGACTAAACAGAGATATTCATTTCTGCCCCCAAATCAAGAGAGGTAAAAGTCAAGAGATGAGGCATACAGGCTACTATGGTACATCAGAGCCCAAGTCTTTGACTAGAGGGAGCAGATATAAAACCACTTCAAATGTAGGTGTTGCTTCTCAGAATACCTTCTTGCTGCCATAACTTTTCCTAGTGGTTTTTTATATTGCCATCAGTCCTGACTGTGAGACAACTGATATTACTAGGTTGTAAATATTTTTACACAGGTTGGCTCTCTTCACACAATGGAATATTTTCCCATGATCAGTTTGCTCATTAACAGATAGACCTGCTGGCCTCCTGGGCTCAGGTTACCAATGTCATAGGTGAGCCACAATGATTGCATTTATATTGTTAGTGTCCAAGGTGGGTCAAAATATGGAAGCATATACTGTGAGTCCAAGTATCACCTTACATTACTCATGCATGGATAATCAAAGTGGAAATGAAACAGTGACTAGAAAATTTCCTCAGTTAAGCAACTAACCCAGTGCTAGACTCAGGAGAATATAACTGGAGGAAGGACATTATACTGGGATAGAAAAAGCTATGAAGAAAAAGGGGCTTTTGATTAGAGAATGTATTATTTTCTTTTTTTAAGATTTTCTTTATTTGAGAGAGAAAGAGAGAAAGTGGGAGGGAGTAGGAGAGAGAATCTGAAGCAGACTCCACACTGAGTACAGAGCCTGACACAGGGCTCAGACCCACAACTGTGAAATCCTGACTTGAGCCCAAACAGAGTTGGTTGCTTAACTGACTGAGCCACCCTGGTGCCCCAAGAATGTGTTATTTTCTTATCCAAAACACTTAATAAAAATGAATGATAGTATCACTTTTGTCCTCAAAAAATTTTTTTGTGTGACCCTACTTTATTGAGAAGTGTAACATTCAAAATTTAGGAGTTCTGTCTAAATCTGTGAAGGACTCTCAAACCACCCCACTTGAGGCAATCCCTTGGATTCAGAGGGACTGGTAAAGGAGAGTGGTATGAATTTTCAGCAGTCCCTGATTGTATGGGCATAGCTGCGGAGTTAAAATATAAACATTGAGGGGCGTCTGGGTGGTTCGGTGGGCTAAAGCCTCTGCCTTCAGCTCAGGTCATGATCCCAGGTCCTGGGATCGAGTCCCGCATCGGGCTCTCGGCTCGGCGGGGAGCCTGCTTCCTCCTCTCTCTCTGCCTGCCTCTCTGCCTACTTGTGATCTCTGTCAAATAAATAAATAAATATAATCTTTAAAAATATATATATAAACATTGAGCTATGTATTGGCAGGGCTTTTTACTTTGAAGCAATTTTAAACAAAGAAAAGAATTTTCTGTTTTAGCTTATCAGCAAGGTACCTGCCTGCTGGAATGAACCAGATGTATCCAGACAAAGATAAAATGCTGAGGCTCGTATGTGAGTCAAAGGCACAGATCAAAGCAATGAGTGAAGATCCACACTAAAGCCAGCTTGAGACATTAAGTCAATCCTAGCTAAGCAAGTCATTAGTATCCTAGTGAAAAAGAATGGATAATAAACACCAGAACCATATTATCACTAGATACATATATTTAGACTTGAACTAAATATTTATAGTAGGAGTAGTCTGTTTACAACATGGATTCACCTTTCATAGATTTACTGCCTATGTAAATTCCCATGATAAATCAAGCTACTTGAATCATACCCTGAAAAGAGAACTGCTGGAGATTACCTCCCTCTTCCTCAGATTCTCCCCCTGTTTGTGCATGCTCTCTCTCTCTCTCTGAAATAAATAAAATCTTAGATAAATAAATAGAGCAAAGAGATAGGAAAATATGTTCAAAAAGCAAAAGAAACAGGAGTCCACAGAACTAGATGATTGACAAAGAAGATATTAATAAAAACAAGCATATTATGGAAAATATCATCAAAACCAACATTTTTTTTAAAGACTGACAAAATTGAGGGGCACCTGGGTGGCTCAGCCAGTTAAGCATCCAGCTGTTGCTTTCAGCTCAAGTCATGATCTCAGGGCCATGAGAGTGAGCTCCCCATTGGGCTTCATGCTTGTGGTGAGTCCACTTAGGATCCTCTCTCTCCCACTGCCCCCCCCACCTGCTTGCACGTGCTCACTCTCCCTGTCTCTCAATAAATAAATAAAATATTTTAAAAAGAAAAAGACTGATAAAATTGGCAAAACGTTTAGCAAAATGGACTTTAAAAAAAGGCAAAAGTTATTGATTGCAGGAATAAAAAAGGGCATATCAGTGTATCTTAGTTATTAAAAAATTATAGTTATATAACTTACAGTAATTAAAAAGATCATAAGAAAATATGAGCTACTTCATGCCAATAGATTTTAAGATTTAAAAGCAATGTTATAAATTCCTTAGAAAACACAAAATGTGAATACTCCCAAATCCATTATTATTGAATCTATCATTAAAATTTCTCTCACGAAGATACCCCAGGCCCATAAACTTCACCAATGAATCCTTACAAATATTTACAGAAAAAAATAATACCAATTTTACACAAAATCTCCCAGAGAATAGAAAAGAAAGTAGTAATTTCCATCTTGCTTCTACCAGGATCTTTGCACATGCTCTTCTCCTTTCCTGGAATGTCTGACCACTCCCATATGGTTAATCCTTAAACCTCAGTTCAATTGTACTTTCCTACCTTTGGGTTGACATCCTTTAGATTTCAACTCAATCATCTTTCTTAATCTTTTTCTAGTATAACATCATTGAACAGTTACTGCAATGGCAATTTTTATTAATTTTGGATATCATTTAATTAATATGTATATCGCCCACTGAAGTCTTGATTCCATATAAGCGGGGACAACATGTGACTTTCCTCATGTAGTATCCCAAGTCCATAACACCATGCATGGACATGGTCAATAAATATTTGTTCACTGACTAAATGAAGAAAATGTAAGATTTTCTACTTACGGGGGTTATTGTTTGCATTAACTCATATAATAAATATGAAAGCATCTAAAATTTGTGCTTATGATCAATAATATTATTCTCCTATACTTCCTTCCCTCTTCTACCTCCCCTGCCTTTTCTTTCTTTCTTTTTTCATACCCACCGGAAGCACAGAAAAGACACTGGCTGTGGGTCATATCTAAGTGTGAAACTTAATTACAACACTCATTCCTACATTTGGTCACGCTTCTGGTCAGTTTTTTTTTTTTTAATATATATGTATTTTTTTAATTTCTTTTCAGTGTAACAGAATTCATTGTTTTTGCACCACACCCAGTGCTCCATGCAATACATGCCCTCCTCAATACCGACCACTGGGCTCCCCCAACCTCCCACCCCCCCCCAAGAGGAGAAGGGAGTTGAGGGAAATTGGAGGGGGAGGTGAACCATGAGAGACTGTGGACTCTGAAAAACAATCTGAGGGTTTTGTCCAGTCAGTTTTTTTAAAAGCAGGTGATTCTTTCCATGTTCAGGATGACATGATTGTAATATACCACTAGGAAAGCATATGTCAGGTAATTCCAAGATTCATTGTACATATTCTTACCTGCATGCATGCAGACAATTAATAAAAATTTATTGAACTGAACTAACACGGGAAGGAACATGGTGAGTGAAACAGCAACAGTTCCTGCCCATCTGGGTCTTATATTCTAGTCAGGAACACAGACATTAAGAAAATATTCAGAGACATATTAGAATATCCAATTATTATTTTCTTTTTCCCCCAATTATTATTCTCTATCACTTGCAGATGGAGGTGGTGAGGATACCATAAAAGAGCCAATGAGCCATTATTATGTAGAAAGATCCCTTATGGATTTGTTTAGGCACCAGATGCTATGAGACTGATGATAGGATTTATCTTCAGAACTCAGCCACTGAGGCGTCTGGTGCTTACCCCCACCACCCCAACCACAAGAAAGCTAT